GTACCCAAGTATGTACCTCTCTGTGAAGTACCCTTGTTCTGCTCTGAGAAGACCCGAGCAACCTCCTTTTCGGCCTCTTGCAAAGCACTAGAACTGAGGGGGGGCTCAGCCAGTATTGGGTTAAAATCAAACACCCGCTCCTCCCCCTCCACCTTTCCTTCCCCCACCGAATCCCCTAAGAACAAACAGTCCAGGCTAAAAGAATCGTTGTTCTGATCTTTARGTAGAGCTTCAACTGCCGCACTGCCTGAACTCCCACAATCGTCTGAACTATCAACATGATCAGAATCTGAACCGCAGCTCAACCAGCCTTGATCAGCATCTTCTTTCTCTTCTGGTCTGCCTCTCGAATAGCGTGGGTTCGGGCGATCAGAAAGGCTGTGATTTTGCTCGTCGCCGGCTGCTCGTCGCCGGCTGCTCGTCGGAACCCAGCACAGAGGCCGGCGCTCTCCAGCCTTGTTCGCAGATTTCGCCCCTCCACAGTCGAGAGGGCGAGACTTAGACGATGATAGATGAAAGAGGTCATCTATCATCGTCCCATGCCTGCCCCGCCCCACGTGATGACTTAAGTTGTCACGTGGGCTTTTAAATCCGCAAGGAAGTTCACCCACTGGCCTGACCGGCTCGACCATTCTTAGAGCCGGTTCAAAGAGAGAGACAGCGCGCGAACCGCTCTTTCCCAACTTAGCCACGTCAGCATAGGACGGGCCACCCTCTTTACACAACCCTTCTTCAAAAAAATTTGAAAAAGAAGCCAAAATAGGAAGGCTTCGTGTCTTGGAACACCCCTGCCATTGTTCCCCTTCCTCTGTAAAACGCCCACACTCAACAGACTTACCCGCCAGCCCCTGAAGGCCACGTGTACACCCCCTGCGAGCTTGTCAGATTCTTCAACTTCTAGTCATCTTCCCCAAAGCAAAGCTTCAACTTCTGAAACTAGCCAGACCTTGTGCCAAGCTTCTTCTAAGAGGACTTCGAAGATCCGCAGCAAGTTCTCCGGATTGATCCCAGCAACCTTAAGTTCCACCGCTCTCAAGTTGCTTAAGTTAGCCTCCAACAGAATTCCACCCATTGCTCTAGCAATTTTCCCCATAATAAGGTTATTCCAAAGGTTGAAGGGAAGACCAAGAAGTTTAATCCAAAAGCTGCCGGCTCTGGGTTCAACTTCATTGCAATCTGGAGCCCAATTCTGGACCTTAATCAGGCTTCCTTCTACAAGGAAAGAATTGAAGAACAAAGTCTTACTTCCAATATCTAGTAGGGCTTTCTTTTCAGCAAAAGGTAGCAACAAAACATCTTCCT